CATGTTAAGGTGAACGCAAGCAAGATTGCATTAAGTGAAAATACTTTGCACATTGCTACAAAAGGGATCAAAAGAAATATTATAATGTGATGGATCTTTAATCGAGTGACTTAAAAAGTGTTACAAAACCTCTTTTTCAAGTTTCAGAACGGCCATAAAAGCTTCTTGAGGTACATCAACTCGACCTATGGCTTTCATTCTCTTCTTACCTGCCGCCTGTATATACAAATATTCACATCAAATTTTATAAAATAAATAGGAGTAAAAATCATTTATCATAGCAGGAAAAAGAAAAGTACCTGTTTCTTAAGAAGCTTCTTCTTCCGAGAAATATCTCCACCTGAATGAATCATAGTAACAAGTTCAGAGATGGCTGTGTGGGGAACAACACACATTAAAAGAGGCATGGGAATGTGTAATTACCGTAACATTTGGCCAAAACATCCTTTCTGATTGCTGAGAGCGCTTCACTAGCAATCACTTTTGATCCTATACAAGCCTGCACACGTTAATGTGTATGTCAAAACAGCTTCCACGGTTTGTATATACTACGGGGCATCTTCAGATAACCAATCAGGATCAAATAAAATTTAATAAGTTCAAAAGAGGAAGATCTAAGATCCAATCATTCTGATGTGCCTAAGGCCCCCCTCAAGAATAAAAATCTCCAAGAACCCATAGAAAACTATCAGTTATTCAGTAACGAGATTATTTGCAAAAGTTTATAAATGTAAATACCTGGATGGGCACTTTAAACATCTGTCTCGGAATAAGCTCTTTGAGTTTTTGAGTCAAAGCTCTCCCAACGGAATATGCCTGGAAACATAGTTTAAAATGATACCACAGTACTGTGAGGACAGGACTCTTTCTTAACTCAATGCTACATACTTGGAGAGGTACGAAGCTTAACAAAAAGAGCTTCAAACAAACAGTTTATTAAATCTTTATTTACACTTAGATATGTGTGGAATCGCTAAGTTCACAAATTTCAGATTAATAAGCTTTTGATAACCAACCTTGTCTCTATGTACAATGGTTGACAAAGGTTCCACCAATTCAGCATTAATCAGAATATCGAGTTTTATCAGATCGCTTTCCCTGTACCTGCATACGTATACAATAGAGAATTAGAGATGCTAAGAAAGACATAAAAAGCGCAAGGGAAACATAGATCTGCTAAATTTTACATCACTTGTTACATTTAATTACTAAGAAAATGATATAAATATCCATCCTTGAAATAGGCTGCGAGATTCCAAGTTAAGCTAAAACTTAAGACATGCATCACTAAAATTTAGTGTAACTAACCCAATAACTGAGTATTCCATGCTGGCATATCCCTTGGTCCTAGACTTCAATTGATCAAAGAAATCTCCCACCATCTGCAAAAAATAGAAGGGAGCCAATAATGAGAAGATCGGTTAACATAATCAAGAGAGACATACCTAAACCTTTCATTGGGACTAAATGAACTGTTCAAAGGCAAAACCTCACCTCTGCAAGGGGTAACTCATAGAGGAGAGAAGCTCTATTCTCAGCTATATATTTCATTTCTTTGAACTCCCCTCTCCTATCTTGAGCAAGCTCCATAAGCGCACCGATGTAGTCCTTCGGTGTAAGCAACTCAATCTGTATGATACCATTTTGCAGTTAGGATATGTAATTCTACGAAACGTGTCATGTGAAAATATCAGCAAAACGTAACCTTAACGTATGGTTCTTCGACTGATTTTCTTAGCCCAGGTTGTGGAAGGAGAGATGGGTTTGAGCACATAGTCTGAACAAACATCAATTTAAATGGTAGTAAGGCTCTAGATATCAAGAAAGACATACACAATATTCAAAAGTGTAGGATCAAGAGGAAATTACAATATCACCATTTACAGTGTGCACTTTATATACAACACTTGGAGCAGTGGTAATGAGATTTAAGTTGTATTCTCTCTCTAGCCTTTCCTGCAAAGAAGATGAACTAGAGAGTATAAGTATCAAAGTATGCTATATTTTCACTTTGAGGGCTTCCGTCAACTTATTTCGGTTACTAATGTAGCAAATAATCAAACAAAAAACTTATGAGCGGAACATGTCTGACCTGCACAATTTCCATGTGGAGAAGACCCAAGAAACCGCATCTAAAACCAAAACCCATGGCACTTGAAGTCTCGGGCTCAAACTGCAGGAATAACAACCAAGTTGAGAACACACCCCATATGTAAATTCTTATTTTCTGTAGTTACACTTTGCTTATAATACCTTCAATGCGGCATCATTGAGCTGCAGTTTTTCCAACGCATCTCGAAGATCCGGAAACCTGTCATCAGACGAAATGTTAAAAAAAATTACAAGTATTGAAACAAAAGTCGGAAAATGAACAAAAAGAAAACTCAGTACTGGTCAGCGTCAACTGGAAACAGGCCACAGAACACCATAGGGGTAGCTTCCTCGTAACCGGGTAAAGAGCTTTCTGCCTTTCTGCTAAAATTTGTTATTGTATCTCCTACCCTGGCATCTGCAACCGATCTTATAGACGCAGAAATGTAGCCCACCTGTAGTTAATAACATTTATCATTCAAAATATGTGCAAAGGAATGCTTCATAGTGTTCATTGTAGTTAGTAGAACTTGAGCAAAGAAACATAGCCAAACAAGAAGAGCAAAAAAAACATTTTTTTGCATTCAAATTGTTATTAAGCAGAGCTCCATCTGCTACAAGGAAAACATAAGGAAATCCTTCCATATACAAATGTTTATAGTTTCTCTATTAACATGTGTTGGAACTTGGAACGAAACCACAGAACAGCCAAAGAAAACTGACATCTTCATTTTGTAATACCAAAGTTTCTGCTGAAAAACCATATTTTAACTAAAAACGGAAACTAAAGCACATGAAAGTGATATGTGCAAAAGAGTACACTACCTCACCCGCATATAACTCATCCACCTGAATTTGATTTGGAGATAGAACACCGATTTCATCTGCGAAATAGTCCTGGAATTGATGGAAATTTGAGAACATGAGAAAGCATTTTTAGAAGATAGGCGTTCTCAGTTATAGCCAATGGAAAGACATCCAGACCAGAGTAGTAGTAGAGAGAGAAGTAAAAACCTTTCCGCTTGCCATGAATAGAATCCTGTCGCCTTTCTTTACTTTCCCATCGATAACTCGGAAGTATACGATGACACCACGATATGGATCATAATAACTGTAAACACATGTATTGTGGAAGAATAGTATTAGTAGTTAACATGTAAACATTATATATTTGGCAACTAATCAAACACAAAAAGTGCTTAACAGGAACTGACTAGACAAGCCAATGAGCAGTACAATCATCAATGAGCAGGTCTTCATAATGTGGTTTTTAGTAGAAAAGGTAAAAGTAATCATGGATTAAAAAAAACAAGTGCAGACCTGTCAAAAATTAAAGCTCTGAAGGGTTTTTCTGCTGTTTCGGGAGGTGGAGGTATCCTTTGAACAATTGCATTCAATATCTCCGTTATACCAATTCCTTCCTGTATCAATCAAATATGTATGCCCCCAAAAATGTAATTGAATGGATACAGAGTTAGACGTCTTTAATCTTTATGTAGCAGAATAGCAAAATGATTTTAACATTCTAACCTTTGCCGAGCAGAGAATTGCTTTGCTACAGTCTAACCCAATAACCTACAAAACCAGCATTAGCAAATAGTATTCACGCAAAGGCTGATGTCTCTGGAAATAGCAGTAACGAGAAAATATTTGGATCAAAATATCACAAAGCAATGCTAAAAAGGCATAAAGTAAGTACACTGAATATCTAAGACAATCTGTAACAGAAGCTTAGTTAAATCTCTTGATAACATTTTGACGACAGCAACATAAAAGACTGAGAAGATTTTTAGTCTACACCAAAGAAGGAATACTATTCATATTGTAACTGGCTTTATTGCATGATTGCTATTACCAACGAACATCATAACATGGGCTACACAATGAAGAGAATCACTAACCTCCTCAATCTCTCTGAGAACTTGCTCTGGCTCAGCGCCTGGAAGGTCAATCTTATTCACAACCTGCAAGGAAGAAGTAGAGTTCGTTTTCTTACAACTCTGGTATACAACGCCAGATTGTTGGACAGGAAAGAAACATCACTTTCCATGAATTGTCATAAATCAGATTCAAGAAATTACCAAACGTTAAATGACATCATCTTTTTATCCTAGACTAGCTATTCTTTTCTTCATCTATGAACTGGTGAAGTGATGCTAGCTATTTTTAAGACATGTTTGGCCTGTTTGAAAGCTAACTTATTGCGGACTCTGACTTCTGTAATTAAATAGGGCACTAAGATCACTAAATAGTCTACAAATAGTGACGAAATGAAGGAACGAATGATGATATGTACCACACATACTTGAGAAAATCAAGAAGAAGAAAACAAGATGAACCATAAGATCTCTACTTACAGGAATGATTTCGAGGTTGTTTTCTAGAGCCAGATAAACGTTGGCCAGTGTTTGCGCTTCCACACCCTAAATCACATTTTTAAGAAAAGTTAAAAGACTGCAACATATTCACCAAGAGTACTACAAACTCCAGGTTTCCCTGTCAAGGAAAAGAAAAAAATCACCTGCGATGCATCCACAACAAGAAGAGCACCCTCGCATGCGGCAAGAGATCTAGAAACCTATTAACAAAAAAGCAAATATTGACTGTTTTAGGTTCCAAGTAAACTTTTAACCGATGACAAAATGAACTTAACTTTAAAAGTTAAACCTTAAAACGTATCCGCAGACAATAAAACCTATGATGGAAAGAGAACAAATGAATTAAAAGATTGAAGTACCTCGTAAGAGAAGTCAACATGACCTGGAGTATCAATCAAGTTGAGGCAATAAGGTGTATCCTCATAAACATAACGCATACGAGCTGCCTAAAACACAAAAAAAGGTTACAAATTCAGAAGCTTTTATTCTCAATCTTAGTTAGAGAATAATTGTGCAACCAAAAGAAAGAACCTGAAGCTTGATGGTGATGCCTCGTTCTCTTTCTAAATCCATGTTATCAAGAAACTGTTCCTTCATATCTCTGTTCTGAACAGTACCAGTCACCTGAAGCAACTTATCCGCCAACGTAGACTTCCCATGATCTATATGTGCTATTATACTAAAATTCCTTATCCTCGAAATTGGAACCTACAATTTTTCAAAAAAAATCACATTTTTAAATCCTAAACCTTGCCACATAGATAGAAGCAGAGGTTTATTATCTAACCTTCAAAAGACGGTCTTGGCCAGAACGCGCGGCTAGTTTGGAGCCAGTGTCAGAGAGGTTATTGCTCTGAGGCTGAGTTCCCGCTGTGGCCTGGCAAAGTATCTGTAGCCTCCTGTTAGAGTGGCGGTTGAAGGTGGAGACGGGAAGGGAGGAGAGACGACGAAGAGAAGAAGAAGTTGGGGATAAGAAGAAGGACGTTGGAGGAGATAAGTCCATAGCATAAGCCATGGCCATGGCTCTCTGTCTGTTTGTGACTTTTGAGACTTCTACTTACGGTTTTTGAGTGAAAGTTTTTTTTTTTTTTTGTTAAAGAATTCTGAGCCACAGGCTATCCGGATCAGACCACCCGCAGCTGACCCGACCCGACGCAAACGGATCCGGCCCAACATTATTACATTCAGAGCAAAACTTAAAACTTCAACTCAACAAACCGTGTGAAGTGGAACAGTTTAAAGAGTTCCCACGATAAATTCATGTCTTCTGTAGTTACACAAATTTTATATATTAAAAAAATATTCGAACTGTACCCAAGAACGAATGTTCCCTCACATGAAAAAGAATATGATGAGTGATGATATTTTTTAAATTTTTTATTTTGATTAGCTGAAGGTATCTCAAACTTATGAAATGGCTCAGACTAATTCCTAACTAGAAGTGCAATCCATAGATAGATCTTCTTTTCGGATATGCAAATGGATCTAAAAATATGGATCGATATCTGTGTAGGTGTTCAGAAACAATATGATTTAGTTTCATATAGTAAGTAGATGGAACCTAAAACATGTTAATGTCCCAGTTCTTTATAAGATGATATGCAAATGGATCCAAAAGTATGAATTTGTCGATGTCCGAGAACAATATGATTTCGATGTCCGAGAACAATATGATTTAGTTTCGCATCGAATCTGAAATATGTTACCGTCTCAGCCCCTTCACATTATCACTCGACCACATTGTACCAAACATGAATGAATGATGATATTAGAAGAAGCTTTTTTTATAAAATGAGCAAACGTAACACATTCACAAGCTTTTTTTGTTCAAAATCGTTGTGCCATGACTCCAGCAATAATATGAGACTATTATTCATCGGTGATTAATGTTTGTTAATCATTTTCTTAGATAGAGATGATCTTCACATGCCTTAGGAGTAGTTTAATACTAGTAAAATCCCTTTGAAAAAAACTCCAGACCTTTCCGCAGTTTTGGTTTTCTTCTTCGTGGAGGTGAGAAAGAAAAAAGGCAAAGACTGCGGTTTTTACTTTGACGGTATATTGAAAACTAAAAGATTCGTTTTTTACTTTATTTTACCGAATGTCATGATAGGGTAAGAGAGAGTCAATGTCGTTGTGGTAATAGAAGAAGCTTTGACCAATCCATCTAATCACCGCTTGTGACTGTTCTTTTTTTTTTAAACTTTGAGAGATTAAAGGGAAAGTTTTTTTTGACTTTTCTTTGGATTTAATGGTGGTCCAATCTCTTTTCATTTTTGTTGTTGAATGGAAAATCATTTTTTCATTTTTATTTCTTTCCTTCATTCATTCATACTACTACTACTCTCCTTTGCCCTTGACTTTCTTCCTTTTCTAACATTTATTCTTCTCGTGTTCCTTCTACTTCTTGCTTTTGTCTTCTTTTTTGTCCTTTCACTGTTTCTCTGTCGTGAATCCCAAGCTCTCAACTTTACCAAAAGTCCCCACCACGTCTTCTGGGTAAGTTCTTCTTCGCCTTCATCTGGTAAAAATCCGATCTTTCTTGCTTAAGTCTATGGAGAGAGAGGGAAGAAGATAGGATGGCTTGCACAGTGTTTGACCTAAAGTCTTAAAAGGCTTTATCTATTTTCAGACTTCAACTTATGGTGCCAATCTATTACCATTGCTCCAAATGTCGTGAACTCTTTTTCGGACATGATTTAGGTTCCTTTGACTCTTTGATTTGACTTTTTTATGTACTTTGTTCTTTTTGATAGGTTATTTAATTACCCTCGCTGAGTTTTTAATCAAAGTCTCGGTGGCATGATCTTTCGGACAGCTTTAGCTTGAGGTTCTTTTTATTGGAGAGGAGTTATGGGTAGTTTTTGTTCCAAGAGCCTTGGAATCAATTTTGGCAGTGAGTATTCAGGTTCAAGTGTGGCTGATGATGGCCGAGATCATGATTTTGGGTACCAACAACAACCACCTGGTCAAAACTGTTTGATGGGTCCTCCTGGTACAAGACACTCTATGGTTAAAGACGTTGCTAAAGAACCACCAACACAGTTGAAAGATGTATTCTCTTTCCGAGAAAGAGAAGGTGAAGATATCTATGATGGGATTCCGAGGTTACCTTCATCACAGAAACTTCGGCCTTCAAAAGCTACTCAAACTGCTGTTTCAAAGGTTAGTTTTTGCAAAGTGTGTTGTTTTTAGTGTCTTTGAGAACAAACAAATCCAAAATTTGCTATGTTGTTGGTGGCAGGTTACAGAGGTAGGTAGAGCGGGGTTAGGTAAAGCAAAGGATGTTTTGGATACTCTTGGGAGTAGCATGACTGATCTTAGCAGTGGTGGTTTTACTTCTGGTGTTGCCACTAAAGGCAATGAACTTGGGATTTTAGCCTTTGAAGTAGCAAACACAATTGTCAAAAGCTCAAATCTTATGGAATCACTTTCCAAGAAGAACATCACGCACTTGAGAGAAACTGTCCTTCATTCCGAAGGTGTTAAGAATCTTGTCTCGAATGATGTTGATGAACTCTTTAGACTTGTTGCTGCTGACAAGAGGTGAAAATTCAAGATGGTTAACTTGTTATATTGTTAAAACATTGCTAGATAGTTAACTTTGTTTATGTTTGCAGGCAGGAGCTGCAAGTTTTCTCAGGAGAAGTGGTTCGGTTTGGAAACCGATCTAAAGACTTCCAGTGGCATAATCTACAGCGCTACTTTGACAAGTAATGTTATACAGAATCTTAGTGAATGAGATTATGTTCATCTTTGTGTTTGTAGTTTTGTTTAATTAGCTTCTTTTTTTTTGGTTCTCAGGATCATCAAAGAGTTAACCCCTCAAAGACAGTTGCATGACGATGCAGTCTTACTTGTTGACCAGCTGCTGCTTCTAGTGCAGTATACTTCTGTGAGTGGATACTTTCTCAAATTAGAAACTCTAAAAAATCATTTAGAGTCATTCTTGCTAATAGATGTGTGTTATCTTCTTTAGTAGCTGTAAAGATGTGTGATATAAAGATGTCATGATGTCACTCAGACATATCTCTTTTGGGTTCAGGAACTATACCAAGAACTCCAAGTATTGGATAGACTGGAGAAAGACTTTGAGCAAAAGCGCCGAGAAGAAGAGAACTCAGCTAGCAACAGTAGAGGTAAACCATCAAAACCTACTTGCCTGATTTATTTGGTTTGTTTTCTTAACAGTCCTCTCTGTTTAAACATAGGTGATGGCCTTGCAATCTTAAAAACGGAGCTTAAATCCCAGAGAAAGGTAGTGAAAAACCTAAAGAAAAAGTCCTTGTGGTCAAGAGGTCACGAAGAGGTGCTACTTTGCTTCTTTTGTCATTTAAAATTCATTTCACAAACTTAAAATACAACCACAGCTAGCTCTCTTGGTAGAAAAGTCTTGCAAAACTGAAACTAGATTATTGTTATGTGTGAACACAGGTGATGGAGAAACTAGTAGACATTGTACATTTCTTGTTGCTAGAGATTCATAATATATTTGGTGGTGCCGGTATGTAAGTTCCTCCTTTTTGTACTTTCCACCATGTGCTATTCAGCATCTATCTAAGCTTTAGAATGTTCTCTTGACCACTTTTCCATTTCAGAACACATTCTGTTTTCTCTTGTCAATTGATCTTCAATAATTAACTTTTTATGCTGAAAGCTAAATTCTTCTTACAACAAATTATTTGCTTAGATAATCAACCAGCGAAGAAGAAAGGAGCAACAGATCATGATAGAAGATTGGGACCTGCTGGTCTTGCTTTACATTATGCAAATATAATTGTGCAGATCGATACACTTGTGAGTACTCATAAACGTACCACTTGTTCATTTGGTTTTTGTTGGTTCTAAGTGTATTCTAATGTGTATGTGTTTGATGGGTATAGGTCGCCCGTGCAAGCACTATAACTTCAAATGCAAGGGATTCCTTATACCAAAGCTTGCCACCTGGTATAAAACTCGCTCTTCGTTCCAAGATTAAGTCCTTCAATGTCGATAAAGAGGTAATATCTTCTTGTTTGATCTACAAAACCGAAGGAAAGGATGTGTTATTTTTGACCAGTCTCACTAATAAACAAGGTGGCGTAATTTATGTTTCTCTCGTGACAGCTTTCGGTTACACAAATTAAGGACGAGATGGAGAAGACACTGCATTGGCTTGTCCCTATTGCAGCCAACACAACCAAGTAAAAAAAGCCTGACCCTTCTTTCGTTACCCTGACTTAATATTCTATTTTCTTTTATGGCTAAAAAGATTGTTGAATGGGTTCATTGCAGAGCTCATCATGGTTTTGGTTGGGTTGGAGAGTGGGCAAATTCAGGGTGAGTGGTGAAGGAAGTGAGACACTGCAACTGCTCTGTTTACATGCCTTTTTTTTAAAAATGATTTTGTTGTTTTAATCTTTCAGGACCGACTTCACTAATAAGACTAGTGGTGGAGATATACTACGCATCGAAACACTCTATCACGCTAGTAAAGAGAAGACAGAGGTCTACATTCTTGGACAGATCATTTGGTTACAACATTTGGTTGCAAGAGTAAAGAGGGACGCTCGAAGAGGTCCTAGGCTTTCTCCTATGAAGTCTACGATCCAGCAACTGATATCTGAACCACTTAGTGTCCCATTAGTAACAGATGAGGAACAAAAGTTGTTAGATGAGGCAAGCAAAAGGAAGAGGACTCATTGTGTTAGCAAGAGCCATGATTTTGATTCTGAGTACTCGCGTGTTAGGAAGTGTGACCCTTTGAGTAAAAGCAGTGAGTATTTCCGTGGAGTGAGAAGAAGCAAATCAGCTGCCGTGAAGAGGTTTTCTTCTGGTTTTCCACTTCTTGATTTTGGTATCGATAAGGAGAAAGCGTTGGATGTTATTGATCGTGTTGATGATGTACCGAGAGATTACAAAGCATTATTGAAAGAAGGTAGCTTAAGCTTCTAATGGAGAGTGGTCTGAGTCCAATGCACCAAAACTAGCTTCTGGTTCATGTGTTGGTTTGTACATATGAGCATAAGAGAATGCTGTGGAAGAAGCTTTTTATGTGTTACGTTGTTAGATCATTTTACAATATTTCATTCAATATAGTGTTACACTTTTCAGAAAGTTTCAAATAACGATGATGATTAGATGACTTGCACCATTCTCTGAACACAGAGTAAGAGACTAAGATTCAAGTAAGAGAATAAGATCAACAATCATAATCATACATTGCAACAAGAATCTGCAAGACTTTAAAACCTTTATTTCAACAAGTAAAGAACCAAAAATTTAACAGTAAATGAAGAATATGTTCAGCATCATCTCGTAAATCTCACACAAATGATGGAATCGCAATGCAGTTGCAGCACCGCCTAAAACATTGGTTTTTTTTCGTTATTGTCAACAAAAGAAAATGGGAAGAAAGCATCCGTAAGAGATGAATCAAAACCCTTAAGCTGCAGACTCCTTGGAGATCTTCTCTGCTTTCGCAACCACCTCGTCAATTCCACCAACCATGTAAAAGGATTGTTCAGGAAGATCATCGTACTTACCATCGAGTAAACCCTACAACAACAATTCACAACTCAAATGATTTCATATATATAGCAAAACAAAGATGTAGCAAAGAAGAAAGTCATATGGGCATATATAAGTACCTGGAAACTGTTGATGTTTTCCTTAAGGTCAACGTATTTTCCAGGGGCACCCGTGAAGATCTCAGCAACGTGGAATGGCTGACTCAAGAATCTCTGGATCTTACGGGCACGAGCAACAGTCAGCTTGTCATCTTCACTTAGCTCATCCATACCCAAAATGGCAATGATATCTTGCAAATTCTTGTAGTTCTGTAGCACTTTCTGCACACCACGAGCAGTGTTGTAGTGCTCCTCACCCAGAATGTGAGGGGAGAGCATACGGGATGTTGAATCCAGAGGATCCACAGCTGGATAGATACCGAGCTCGGAAATCTATACATGCGAATGAGAAAAGTATTGAGATATCATCTTAGTAAGCAAAGCATTACAGAAAAAAAATATGTTTAAAAAAAGCATCAGAAGGCGACAAATTCACACCTGTCTCGAGAGCACAGTTGTGGCATCCAAGTGAGCAAAGGTTGTGGCAGGAGCAGGATCTGTCAAATCATCAGCAGGGACATAGATGGCTTGGACTGAGGTGATGGAACCTTTCTTGGTGGTTGTAATTCTCTCTTGAAGAGCACCAAGATCGGAAGCTAGAGTTGGCTGGTAACCCACAGCAGATGGGATACGACCAAGCAGAGCAGACACTTCGGAGTTGGCCTACACAAGAGTGTGCACCGGAGTTAAATTTATAGTTACTCATCAGTATATGATGGCACACATGTACTGAGATATAGAGCAAACAACATAGCTCACCTGAGTGAAACGGAAAATGTTGTCAATGAAAAGCAACACATCTTGACCTTCGGCATCACGGAAATACTCGGCAACAGTCAAACCAGTAAGTCCAACACGGGCACGGGCACCCGGAGGCTCGTTCATTTGTCCGTACACAAGAGCACATTTGCTCTCAGACTGTCAGAAAGGGAAAACAAAGAGAATTCAGCAACAAAGAATAATCAAATGCCATTTGCCAGGATACTAATCCAAATTATTTTCAAACCTGCTTCTCGCCTAGCTTGATGACACCACTCTCAATCATTTCTCTGTACAAGTCATTGCCTTCACGAGTTCTTTCTCCCACACCAGCAAACACGGAGAAACCACCTGTTCATCCGAAGAAGCACATGTTAATAAACTAAATCTCAAGTACCATTGTGCAAACTACTTAGGGAAGCCATGATAATACAAACCATGAGCTTTTGCGACATTGTTAATCAGTTCCATAATGAGCACTGTTTTCCCAACACCAGCACCGCCAAAGAGTCCAATCTTTCCTCCTCTTTGGTAAGGAGCAAGCAAGTCAACAACCTGGAAAGAACGCAACAAACTTTAGCAAAGACAAACACGTGTAACCGATGGGAACAACCGAACAAAGCGGAGCTAGAGTCCAAAATCTACCTTAATACCAGTGGCAAGGATCTCTTGCCCAGTGGCTAGATCAACTAAAGCTGGAGCATCTCTGTGAATAGGTAGGTAGTGCTCAGTCTCTACGCAAACAAAAAAAATCACATCGTCATGACACGTTCTCAGAAAATAAGTCACTGATTAAAGGTAAGTCAGAACACACTTACTAATCTCGCCTCTCTCGTCAATAGGTTCTCCAAGAACATTCATGATACGTCCAAGTGTAGCTCTTCCAACAGGGACCTTAAAACAAGTCGGAACAAATAAAATGATTAGTCATTCACTTTCACAGAATGACTTGAAACATTGAGTTCCTTGTAAATGAATACACTTTTCGAACAAAGAAGTGTATCTTAACAAAGTCAACAGTGAATAAAGGCAATCACGAGATGAAGCAATAAACACATATCTATACAAACCCTATTCAAAGGATCTAAACAACGGAAAACTAACTTACGGTGATAGGAGCACCAGTGTTGAGAACGCGCCTACCACGAACAAGACCTTCAGTACCATCCATAGCAATAGTCCTAACAACATTCTGCCCCAAATGATGAGACACCTCAAGCACCAGCCTCGTCGGATGATCCTGCACCTCCAGTGACGTCATTATCGGAGGCAATCCTTCCTGATCTTCGAATCTCACATCCACAATAGCACCGATGACCTGGCAAACCTTCCCGATCGCTCCTTTCCCACCGTAATCGTAAGTCTTCTTCGCTGCCTCATCCTTACCTGTAGCGGCAGACGATGATGGCGCAGCCGGTGAAGAGGTCGAATATTCGGCGACGCGTCCGAGGAGGTCTCCGAAAGGAGCTGCGTGGCGAGCTGGCGAAGAAGACGGGAGCCTAGGGTTATGGCTCCCGAATCTGGCGGTAGATCTGCCGGAGGATGAACGGAGAAGCGATGATAAGACTCTCCGAGACGCCATTACTGTGTGTTGTGAAAGAGGAAAATGCTAGGGTAAGTACAGAACCTGAATCTGTTAGATCGATTGGTTCTGTTGTCGGAAACTTCTATGGTCTTTGGGCTTCGCTAATGGGCTTACTTAGGCCTAAATAACGTATTCTTTGATATCCGCCGGAAGCATTACATGGCCAATTGAAATATGTGTAGTCCAACAATTATTTATAACTGCATTTTTTTGGTCAGTTTTTTTTTTTAATTGAATAGCATCTAATTATATCAGTAACCACCTTTTCGAACATACCAAGTTGACTAATATTTAAACTCTTAGAGCATGTACATGAATCCCTTTTGGGTTCATCTTCGTAATATTTTTTTTTCTTTTTTGTCAGATTTTTTTTTTTTTTAAATAATCTGAACCAATCCTCTTCCGACATGTGGTGAACTTCCCCCTTTTGGGGGTCACCAGAAAGAATTTTTGCAGAGAGAAGTTCATTACTGTTCATCTAGAAAACTGTGTGACTCCCCTTATGAACCTTCAATATATCCCCTATATATTAATTGAGAAACATTTGAAAAGATGTAACCTCAAGTTTGTATTAATTAAAAAGTAACCTTGCTTAGTTGTCAATCAATTAGCATATCAATTAAACTGACGTGGCGGCTTTAGGTTCAATTGAAATTTGCTAGGGAAAAATAATTAAAGATGCATATAACGCATGTAACATAGTTTATATATTTATANTTAAACTGACGTGGCGGCTTTAGGTTCAATTGAAATTTGCTAGGGAAAAATAATTAAAGATGCATATAACGCATGTAACATAGTTTATATATTTATATATATCGCACGCATGTAATGGAAGAAAAGGAAAATATACGATTTGATAACGATTTGCATATATTAACTATAATAACTTCATTCCTTTTAATTTATGGAAGTGTATATGTAAAATGGAAAATACTTAAATTAAAACAATCATAACGATAATTTATAAATCATTGGTGTAAAGTTAATATTTGGCATGAAATTGTTAACCTTTTTATAGGCTAACCTTTTTTACTTTACGTCATCGACCGGTTTATTCACGTAATGATAAACGTAAAAGCTTAAACACCACACAACGAACCCAGCGATTTGCACTTCACATCAAACCCATAGTTTTGTTGTTTAGCGTGTATAATAATAACACCCACACTACGTTTAAATTTCCCCTTTTCCAATTAACTTCTGATATATACCCAAAAAACTTCAAAATGTCGTAATCCATAGAATCATATTCAACGCGGTCTCAAACTATTTAGAGGTAGATAACTTTTCAATGAACCATTGTGCACATGCTAAAAATTGTCCTGATCAGATCATGCCAAAGTTACATTGGTTTGAACATATATTGAAAAGTTAATATTTTAATTTTGAAATATGTCATTGTTTTTTTTAAAATGATTATAAATTATTGAAACTACTAAACATCTCACATTAAAAAAAATCGTTGGTGTAAAGTTTTGTTACACAAATATGCAAATAATCATAAAATCATATGAGTAGAAACCTCATTTAATAAATATCCATATTAAAAGTGTGCTATATTACTATGTTTATATCATTTAAATTTAATTATATATCATATACAATATATAAGATTGATTATTTTGATTTATTTACCCTAATTGTGAATAAACAA